ATTAACTAGTTCGAAATCAATATGATTAAGTACAAAAATAAGTCAATTAGAAAATTTCAGCGTTCATAATGAAATCTATTTTTGAAAAGTAAGAAATTTTCATTCAGCTTTTTTTATTATTCAATCGTGTAATTAGATTAATGCATTTGGCAGATACTTTTTAGGCTTTTTAGGAGCTAATTTGATCATGTCAACGGACCCTCGCACATTCATTAACAATGATTGTAATTTTCATTTTAGAAACCTTTTTAGCCGGTAACGGACACCTTTGATGTAATGAAAAAGAACTTTTGTCTTTTAAATAGTTCCAGGAATGAGACAATCAATTTTAACATTTTTATTCTATTAATATTGCCTTAATCAAACTCTTTCTATAAGGAATTATTGGATGAGTTTTTGTGATAAGAGTTAATATGATCAATTGAACCATATCGGATATTTATTTCTTAGTATATATTTATTTATATAACAGATGAACAATAGTGATTGTATAACATTCGTAAACAAAACCTTACCATAAATCCTCTCATAACTCAATTATAAGAGGAGCACTTGGTCCAAAAGCATCGACATACGGTGTAATTTCATTAGGGGGCATTTACAAAATGGAAACTTGCCTGCCATAGTTGCGACTTGGTAAACAGAAGCTATGTTTTTTATAGCGAGATAAGATATAAAGAGAAATGGCCCGCCAAATGAAAAAGAAAGGATATCTATGTGATATATCGCCTTAGCACTTATATTTGACAATTCAACTGAATTTTCATCATATCTTTTTCATATTGTATCCAGAGCGGATTTTATTAGCGAAATTGAATTTGCAATAGCGTTAGCGGGAGCTGTTTCTAGTTATGTTTTGAAATCTTTGTTCAGAACCTTTTCGGTGCAGGTCGATCGATGCAAGTTTCTAAATAACATTTGGTCCGAAATTGCTTTTTGCTCTGATAAGGAGCATTCTTTTTTAGTGCCCGGAGATAAAAACTGCTCTGGTTTTAGATAATTGAATTGTTAAGCGATTCTTTCGTAAAAATAAAAGGAAAACGAATTGTATTGGCTGCTTACACAATCTTTATAGAAATGTGAACAATATATTATGTTTGTTTGTATTTATATCCAACCTGTTAATGTTAATCTTGAGTGACGACTGATTCGGATCGAGGGTGAACTATATATATCAATCGTGGACTATTCAAACTAAATGAGTCTAAGAATTCAGTCGAGTTTCAATTTATCACCTAGAGATGGCGTTGAATGTATGAATGAATTGAAAGTTAGATTACACAATTTAAATTCCCCCTTCATGCAAAATAGGGACGGAAAGATGAGGTCTGAGGGGTGGTGAAGAATACATTATACTTAGGGGAGGGAGGAGGGGTTGAAATATTTACCTCGCGGGAGTTTGGAAGTGTGTTCGACGGAGCGAAGCAAAATCTTAATGGATTATGGTATGATTGGACCTCTCGGTTTTCTTGGTGTTATTTTAATATTTTTTTTTTCACGATCGACTGATTGCTATAAAGGATTAAACGGTATGTCCTCTGTTCTCACAGATTGCATCCAATTATAAATATTATTTTTCCCGCCCCAGTAGGTATCGTACTTGTGTTTAACGTCCGGGAATTATTGGTTGTTTTGATTTACTTTTGAAAGGGTTTATGTTATTTTATATTGTTACCTTAAAACTTATTTGAAGTGAAGAATAAAATTGACAACTTTAGTTATTAAAAGAAATAAATACAAATGAAAGATGATTCATAGCTTTCAGCGTATTTCCTAAACTTCATGTTGGTCTTAGCTTAATAAGTTACAAGCTCAGCGAACAGTTTAAACATGCTTGTATATTCTTGACAAGTTATATTAATAGTTATCTTTTGCACCTGACAGAGGTCTTGTTGGAAGGTTTTAGTATATAACTCTAAAAACTTTTAATGGACGTTCCACTTCACTGGGAACACACCAAAACTGTTTTATGTGAGCTAGTTAGTTACGTTTGCCGTCTTAATCAGATTTTAACATAATTTGCGTGAACAATTTAACAATAATGACGAGTATATACAAAAATACAGTGGGAGTGAGGATCGTGTTTTATACAAGGCGTGTAAATTGTATTAAATCAATTAAAAGCATCTACTGATGATAAAATCCTTTCCTTTACTTGGAACATTGGTGTCCGTTAAAAACACCGTACATTTCGTAAGCTCTAATGTTTTTAATTATTCAATAACAAAAGTGCGAATCACGTGAAATGTAACACAGGAACAGTGTTTATCCATTTCACCTGAACATGTTAATTAAGATCTACCTTTCACCGCTGACTAAGCTTTATGGCGTACTGTTTCTGAGCTCATACGTATTTTTGAGACACAAGGCTTACACGAGCACACAAACTGTTATAAAATACATGTACATATATTAGTATTAAGAGTTTCTGAATTACTAATGAAATGATAAAAACTTAACTATTTAATGTCAGAAATATTTTAAACGAATAAGTGGTTTTACTGAATTATTATAGTCAATAATATTTTTTGATAGTAAATTCTATAATTTAAGGCTTAGACTGCATTCAAATTTCACTCGACGAAATTGTAAATCCTCTCCAAAAGACTCATTAGCATAAAAGGTCTTTCAAATACTTTAAAGAGAAAAGACATCTTTTAAACCGCATGCATTATATTTTTCATCATTTCACGATATCTTTTTTGTAAATAATAATCATAGAGAAGTCATTCAATAATTTTAAGAATAAATTAAAGAACATCATTCCTTAAACTATATCTATCAATATTTTGCAAAAGATCTAATATCTATTATATATATATATATATGTATTGCTTAATATCTTTAATTAAAATTTTATATTCGCACACCATTGTAAGAAAAAATCAAATGAAAAACATAGATTCTTGTAAGTATTCTACTTTTTTAATGCCGGTTAAAGTTTATAAAAGAAAAGTTTAAGAAATTCCTTTATTTAAAACATTTGTAAGTAACAGCTTGTCCTCTTAAAGCATAGTTACCCTGTTTGACTTAAATTATTGCTACACTTTTAAATTCCAGCTGCTATTTTATTTCGGTCAGGTTTTTAGTTAATTAAAAACTTACTTACTTCTAAACTACGAGATTGATTTATTTCTTTAACTTTCAATAAGTATAATTCTTGCTAGTATTTACTAAATGGTTAGTATATGACTAATAATAACACTAGTTTACAAAATTTAACTTTTTGTTTGTTGCCGCAAATTTAATGGTTGATATTGTTCACTGATGATTTGTTTATGTCAAAAATACCTTCAAAATTTCTTTAGCAGCTCTAGTTATTTTGTTTCTGGTTTTTGTCATTTTAAGCTTATAAATTAATTGATAACAGTCGTATTTTAGTGTTTTAAGATAAATATCAAAAGTTTTTTGTCATGAGCAGTTCAAGGAGATGTTGTTTGAACAATCCAGATCATTTTTGATACATTTGCTGACAATATGTCTTTAAATACTGTAGAAAAGTTATATCACCGTTGGTGAAAAATACCTATTTTGAGTATTTTGGGATGCTCCTGGATGAAAATGACAAGCCTTAGGCGTCAAATTGTGTTTGTAAAAGGTGTGTGGTATATTTAAGATTATTGAAAAATGGGAAAAGAACTATCTTTAAATTTGGAACACCGACTATTCGGCGAGAACCACAAAATCATCTCGAAGACTCTTATTTTTGTAGAGTGGACTTAAATGGTTTAAACACTAAAAATCGGGCTAAATGGCTGTACCCCAGTACTAGTTGTGTTCAACGTCCAGTGCAGAAGCGTTTATCTATCTGCTCAGTGCCTACAAAAGTATCAGAACCCATAGAACAAGACATGAAAAGACCAAGAACATCACAAAATGATGCGAATTTGAAAGTATATCCAAAGAGTCAAAATGCTATACTAAAAATGAGTTAGATGATGTTGTTAGAGATTTATATCTTTCAAAACAAGCTTCATAATTGCTAGCATCAAGACTCAAAGAAAAAAAAAATTGCTTTCCTCGGACACTAAAATAAGTTTTTATCGTACAAGAGAAAAAGAATTACGATGTTATTTTTCCGAAGAAAACGGATTTTACCTTTTGTTCAGACATTAAAAACTTATTGATAAAAATCTGCTTGAAACAATACTAACCAAACGACTGGCGTTTATTCATTGACAGCTATGAGTGAGGAGCAGGGGGAGCGTATGCATCAAGACTTACGCATCACGGAAGAGCGCTATCAGAGTTTCTGGGATACGAATATGATGTCTGACTATTGCTGGTCTCTGATACGTCATTTTCTAAAGGCTACACATCAGAGAAGAGCTTTAAAACGTAGTTTTCTAGAACTTAACGATTAAATATGTTTCTTTTAGTAGTTTTTCTCAGTAATTACGTATTTTTTCTGTTTTATTCCTGTAAAGCTGAAACTCAAAAACTAGAGCTGATAAAAATATTCTAATTACATTTTTGGAAATGGCATAACATATCTAATCAACAACAATTAAAATTTCTTTGGCAACAGATATACTGTAAACTAGTGTAATCATAGAGGAAAAATCCGACCAATATTTTTTTGTTACACCTATGAGTAATAGCTTCGCGTTTGGTACATTCATTATTACGATAACAAAAGACGTGTGTTAATGTTTTTCTATTATATGAATGTTAGTATTTAGTCATTCATAAACGTTATGTATCGGTCCAAAATATTTTTGGCAGCATCCATTTTAGGTGAAACGAAACATGACTCAGGTTGGTTTCATATTTGGAATGTATTTTCATATATTTTTAATGTAAACCACTAATGGGTTTGCTTTCTTATTATTTGCAGTAAACTTTTCTGAATATTATTCTAATGGAAGAATTGATCGTTGCTTATTGGATACAAACATATTCGGTTTTTATTTTAAAACTATATGACCTACACATCAATAATAGGCAATATTATGTAATAATTCGTCTTAATATTTGTGATATAATGTAAGTGAACTCACCTGAACTCCTCGCTTCAGCCAACAGCCTGGTATCAACGAATATGGCCACAAACACTAAACACATAAAAGTTGTAAGTCTACTAATTCTACACCTCATATTGCTGTCACAATTTGTAACACTATACTTAATGTCTAAATTATTATTGCTAAGAGTATAGACACTTTTGGATCTGGCTGTTCCTCCTCTATCTTCCAGAAGGGATTTCAGATCTAGAAGGCTTTTTCGTTTAGTAGACTTCGCCTTTTCCAAAGGCTCTTCATGTTTTCCTGACATGGTGTTGTGGTTGATGTAGATTTTGTTAGTCAAATCTTCGCGTCATCTTGTGGTGACATCTGTAAAGAAAATGTTCAATTAGTTTATATGTACGACGGAATTCATTATAGAAAACAATAATAAATAAAAAAAGTTATAACAGATTTTTCTCACGAAAACAAACTTCAATACTTATTATATAACTCACTTAATATAATCATACATGAATAGCTGTTGGAGATGATACAATAAACTCTATAAAGTCAAAAAATAACTTGATATCGAGATCGTAAAATGTAGAAGGTATTGCAAAAAGAAAGTCTCACTGAGCCCTGCGACTTTGCATACGTTTGCATACATTGGGTTTTTCGTACACCTTATCCATAAACTGGGCTTTGAAGTGCTGGGCTGTAGACATAATTTAAAGGTTACTATTAAGCTTTTTACGGACAAAAAAGGAGTGCATAAATTTTAAATTTTAACGTCAGATTGAAAAACACTTCCTCTTTTAAAATCTTAATGTGTTTTAAAGGAAAGATTTATATGATTTTATACCATATTAATAAATGTAGTAAATTAAATTTTATAATCATATTAATGTAGTTTTTGTTTCATATTAATTTAGGTTATTATCAATAGCACTTATGTAGTATATCACCGGCTTGTCTACGAATACATTTACAATGTTATCACAAGGATGAACACCTGCGTCTCAGATAAGCGAGATGAGCCTGTTTAACGATCGACTCCTAACAGCGGCATGATTGATATGGCTTCTCATGATTTGTGACTAAATTTTCATATTGAAATCGAACATTTATATTATGAAATATAAAACAATGAATGATATAGTGTATAAACAACTGGTTAACATCATAAACGTAAAACATATTACGGTATCCATCAGCAGTAAAGCACACAGAGCATTTAGCGACTGAATTTCAGTCCGGACCCAGGTGCCAGCTCGGACTGCCTCATTAATCTCCCCTTCTTATCCCACTACATTTGTTACCCGACAGTTCCTATGTTCTATTTTATTTATATAAAAATAAAAACTACAGATCAATTCTATGGATCACGTGCGAACGATATTTTTATACATTTGTCCTTTTCTGGCTCCGTAGAAAAGATCGTAACTGAAAATTGTTCGAATTCCCCGAGGAGGACTTTGGAGTTCCATCGGAACTTGTGAGATCTTTCGCAGGTGTCATGAGTTATTGTGTCATTGCACCAGCTTCATTGCGCGTGAAGATGTGCTATTATTCCTCGGAATAGTTTCAGAATTGTATGATGCTCATAAAGGTATGAAATGGGATTTTGTTTATTGCTTTTATTCTTTGGTGTAAGAATTACAGTATTTGGACTTATATTTTTGATGGATAGATGTGTAAAATAATTTATCAAGATTTTTTTAATACTATGGTGGATCGTTCGTAGATCCACTTAATTAATTTCAAGGTCTATAAAGCTTATATAATTGTGCATTGACAGTTGTAAGCTGGGAAGAAATGTGTAGTAATTTATCCTGCCAATCCTTAGGTCCATTCGTAGCTCTAGGGAGGTCGCAGGTGTTGCCCCCTCATGACGGATCTCTTTGTTTTATCTCGGTTTTGTAGGGATGTTTTTACAGAATTTGCAGTTGCAACTTTGTGAGGTCGAAACGTAATCCTTGCCTTTTTACTGGATTTAAGATCATAATAAATTTATACAAATCCATAAAATTCCCAGCTCTTTTTCAGTTTTATCTTTAAACATATGTTATAAAAGGAATATATAAAGTAAAAAAATATTTTTAAACTTATTTACTGTGTCAGTATTACGTACGTTGCAATCAACCTTATTCATATTTTTATTTTTATATACATTGAATTGAAGTAAAATCAACTTGAATTATACTTTTTACAATTTTTTATTATTAAAAATGTATGTTTCTTAAAAAAAAAAATGTCTTTTTATATTTTACAACTTCATTCAAAAGAAAAATATCATTTCATTCTGATTATTATTATTTGTTTTGTTTCAGCTACAGCTATCACCCAAATTTTCTACAAGTACATATGTAATATGACGCTATATAATTAATTATCTTTTCATATAGATAAGCGAAACGTATACTGATTAAAAACACATTATTTGTTTGGTGACCTTACGAGTAATAATCGTGTTACGAAAACTATATACCAAATCACCACTGATACGTTATTATTATTGATAAATAAATTACCTACAAATAACTTAATATATGTAATAAATTAACATAACACGTTTTATTCTTCATTTAAGGATATAGAAGCGGGGTCATTGATCTCAGTTTTTATCTTACGCTTATATACAGACAATTCGATATCTCTATAAGGAAACTTGGTGTATCGGCATTTATAAGTAGTATCGGCTTTTTAAGTAGTTTATATATAACTTAATTATGTCATTAAAATACAAAATATTTCATCATTTCATACGAATGTTAACTCATATAAAATGAATTATAAAATATATTCTGAGTTTTTAAATCTGTTGTAACAAGTTTAGTACGCGTTAAGATTTTAAACGTAATTGAGAAATGAAATTATGATTTGAGTAAATAAGCGTTTAGCTCCGCGGAATGAATTTGAATTTTCTTCGGAATTAATTCAAATATATTTCATTAAGAACCAAAACTAGCCGTAAACATCTTCATTAAGAAATGAATTTTATGAATGAACTTCTAAATATAATTTAAAATAATTTTCTTCTATACCAAATGAATTCATTTGAGCTAAAATATAATATAAAAATTAACATTATTATAATAACGTACAACGAGAACAAACTAAATAGTTTCCAGACTTATCGAAACTAACCAATTTCGTGTTAGGAGTTGGGACATCAAATAGTTACACCTCTACAACTAACATGTTTTGACAGGAAATTAGTTTATGGTATTGCTCGTTCGAATAGAAAATAGCTCTGAAGTGCACAAATGATAGAAATTCAAATAAACTGCTATTTTGTATTTTAATGCAGGAATCCTGAATCATCGTATATGGCTGATAATGGCTTAGCTTACCTTTGAAATACAAAAAATACTATACAGGTTGTTCAATTCATACTTCATAAATACGCCAGTTTCTAAAGAGTATAAATACGGATTTAATGTTGGAACATATGGACAGACGTACAAAATCTTTAACATTAACTATATATTCTTCAAGTTTGTCCATCAGAGCTGAGACAGGTGCTGTGTAATGTTAACGACGGACAGAAAACTGGTATTCACCCTCCATAATATACGTTTAACTTCAACGGATAATGTTTATGAAACCTTTATATTACTATCCTTAGTAAATTACTAATTCAAAAAGCGTCACTTTATATAAAGCTTTTATAATTTTATATATTAATTAAATTGTATGAATATAATATGTAAAAAGGATCGTTTTTAGAGTGTAATATATTATAAATAAATAGTCATTGATCAAGAATTATCTGAGCTTATATACACAGGACTGAATTCTATTCAATATAAAGCACATTAAATACAATATTTCATACACATCACCAAAACCTTAAAATCCAGAGTTCAAATAAGCCACGGAATAAAATAACTTCAATATTCGTTGGTATTACCAAGCCATAGCTCAGTCTATCTGAATGAATAGAATTGCAGATTTAATATTTTTCCATTCAGTAAAAGCATAAAGTTTTCTCGTCGAGATATCACGCAGATAAAAACTAGAATTTATAGCCCTGCATCACACTTAACCGTTTCACTAAAATATTTGACACACACGAATACATATTGTGTTTTGTAACGATTCTAAAAATAAGATCAAGACTACGCAATAGATTATCAAGAAGCATATATTTTTAACCAAAAATATTTTATTTTTATATGAATAAACTATTATAAGATAAAACTGTATCGGTATTAAAATATACGCGAATTTAATCAGTGAAATGTACAAATATTGGAAAAACAAACCATTTGTAAACGTCGATAGTATATTCGTAAAGAAATTTATGAAAAAATAAAACTGTTTTTCTTTTAAAACCGTAAATGTATGTGGTATTTTTAAAATAATAAATCATTATGTTACTTGCATTTTGTAAACATATATTTACTTCAGTCAGCTGACAGACACATCAGCTGTTTATGTTGGGAAACAATCCCGTGTGTTTCCGCAAAGAGCTTGTTGTTTCGTAAAAACTAAAGCAGTGACGTGAGAAATGTGCCACACCTGGTACCCAGAATTGAAGGTAGCGTTTAGGTAATTTGTTGTTGTCTAGGAATCACTTGAAATAAATATATTTCAAGCCGTAGATATCACAATTTAATTTCACATGAGATATGTATCAATATTTAATATTCCACAGTAAAGGTAAAGCAAACAAGTTTGTTTGCCAAAAAAGGTTTTGTTTTCTGTCTCTGGTAAACAAGTAAATTGGTTTCGGCTTACCGAAGGTGAATGGAATAATATACTTTTCATATGAAATTTATATGATATAATTTTTTATGTACAAAACATTATACGTTTGAGATTTAAACAGTTTATTAGCAACTATGTAAAAAAGAAAATCATAAGAACTGCTGCCACTAAGAAAACGTTTTTCTCCAAACAGTGCAATTGAGATACAATCGGACGATCACAATCAAATGCACTTCAATTTGTCGGTACATCGCGTGCAATACTAGATTTTATTGCTATAGAAATACGGGTCAAATCGACCGTCCGACTAGAAAAATGTTGCTCCTGCAGGTAAACTTTAAAATTTTATAGTCAATCAAATGTCCCCAATTAATCTAATATCTTTTTTGGTTTAATTTAAAATGTTATGAAGAAAGCTTTAAACACTACTTAAAATTCAAGCTATTTATGAGGAAAATGAGAAGGTAAATCTATCTTTTTTTAGCCCGGAGCCAGTAATCGCCAAAGAATAAAAAGACCATTAGTTACTGCGGCCATCTTCGAAATTTTATGCGAATATAAAAGTTCAACCGTTTTTATTTATGCGAGAACATTTGTGTTGTAAATAGCCTCATA